ATATATATATATATATATATATATATATATATATATGCTATGGTCATGACTCGATCTTTTCAATGGGCAAAAAATATCAAACTTTCAGACATATAAATTTATAATCACAAAAATTATATTTTTAAAAGCATTTGTGGTTCTTTTGCTGAGTAGCATGTATTTTTTTTTGTAATTTTGTTGCTCTCACTTAAAAGGAATGCTATAATTTTAAGAAATTATGACTAAAAAATCACAATTTCCCTCCACTGATCGAGTAACTATGGTATTTTAATTAAAATCCTACAGTGTCACAAGAGTACTATGTACCTAAACACTATGTACCTAAACACTATGTACCTAAACACTATGTACCTAAAAACAGTATGCTGGGGGGGGGGGGGGGGGGGGCACAGGCACAGAAACAATAGTAATAAATAGTAATATCATTAACATTTCCGCGTGTTCCAGCACTATCTGACCCTCTCCTGAAGCAACCTTGAGCTCCAGACAGGTCTCCCCTTCTCTATATCCTCTACCAGGGCCACAGTTATTATTATGTGGACATTTTCCCTGAGTGCAGTACAGAGGATAAACGTGAATTTAACCATAGACATATCTGTGAATATCTAGTGATGAATCAATCTGTGGCCCTGGTAGAGAGCATCTTCTCTACACCCTTCTCTATATACTGCATGCCTCAGCTGACTACACTGGTACTCAGGGTGCGTACTCTTGTGTGGTGTGGGAATTCCACTGATTCCTGATACATCAAATAACTCCAAGTAACAAGAAACAAATCTGTTTTTTTTTTTTACAAATCATATATTCATTTGAAATAAATTAACAGATTAACATTAAAAAATACATCAAAAGCAAAGCTGGCACTCATTAAATAATTGCAATCAAAATATACAGTAATTACAAGATCTTTTCAATGGGGAAAATTGCACATTTTACTGATACTGTATTTTTTAAGTCAGAATTTCTGAAAATCAAAACATTATTATTGAGTGGTTGTAACAAAATTAAAAAGCAAGCTACTCTGCTGTTGTATTCTATGCTATTAAAGCACCATATATGCTATACAGAAAAACAATTTTGTGAGAATAAAATTAAGCATCTGAAAGTTTGATCATTTTTGCCCATTGAAAAGACTGAGTCATTACAGCAATAAATAAGTTAAGAGTACATATTGTATGATCACCACTGTATTGATTTGCTTGAATAATGCATGTTAACAAAATATAAAGTGCACATGTTCTAAATAAAAAAAAATAATATTGAGAAACATGGAAGCTTGTAATAGTGAGATGAAAATGATAAAATTATATTACTAGAATAAGTGCTTTAATGGAAGAAAAAAATAAAGTGGTAAATAAATATACAACAATAAATACTAGAATGTAAAAACAGGCACAAGACTGTAGCATAGATGTTGAGTTTTGTAAGATGTGGGTGAAGAGAGAGAAACAGGAGTTCAAAACCAGTTATTACACTTAATATATAAACATATGTTTGTCTATATCTTAGAAGCTCATTTTCAGCCAAAATCAACTGAACACTACATGCATTTCAAGCATGTTCACTCTAAGTAAATTGCACTTCTCATCAGGGATAATATTTACTTCACAGGCCATTATATTCTCTCAAAACAAGTGTTCACATAAGTTTAACAAAAATACTTTCCGTTGCCCCATTTCCATGGTGTAAAATACAGTTACATGTGAAGAGACAGTCATGAATGGAGTTCACAGCAGATGCTTTGTAGAAAACTTTCCAACAACAGTCACAGCCAGACACCCTAAGATTGAAGAAGATAGGACTGATCAGTTTTCCAAGGGCGGATCTCGGATTTTTGGGAGGGGGGGGTCTGCGGATGTGAAGCCAACCCTCCCTCTTGGCGTGAGGCTTGGGGCCCCGCTGAAGGGCTCCAAAAATTTTGGTTTTTTAAAAGGGTGAACAGTGCCATTTATAAGCGTTTAAAACTATGATTTAGCTAGTCAAAATTCTAATTTCTATAGGGGACCATTGGTGTGATTGTTTTTCAGAAATTGAAGGGATGGTCCGGACCACCCTGATACCCCCCCTCTCTAAATCCGCCACTGATTTTCTGTGTCTTCTGAACCTCAGGGTGCTGTAAGAGGCACCACCCCATCAATCAACTCATCTCATATCTGTCCTGTGCAGAATATCTTATTGTATGAATATTGCATATTAAAAGGTAATGGATATGGGAATTGTATAAAAATAGGTATATGGAAAATCTTATGGTCACCTGATAATTAAGTAATTATAATTTGCCTTTTTTCACTTGACATTGAGCAATGATAGAGTTTGATCACCTTCGCAGTTGCTATCCAACATATGAAAAAAATTAAAAATAGAAATTCTGTATAAATACAAACTAATTACACAATAAGAGTACACTTTTAAAAACAAGGCTTATTTATAAAACAAGCCAAGCAATATAAATTCCACCTTATAACAACATTAAAGTAGATGGCGCCAGGTGTCTGGAGGGACTGGAATATGAAGGAGAGCTGGCGCCATCTATCCACTGCTCGTGTCACTGCTCCACTGGGACCAGGTGCTGCTCTTCTTCCACTTTCTCTTCTGCTGCCGTGGTTTCTTCTTCATTCCATTCTGAATCTGGTCCTGCATGTCGTCTGTGACTGCTTGGCCTCTCTTCAGCAGCTGTTTGGGCAGCCTGGACATCACCTCCTGGACCTGGAAACAGCAAAATATTCCCAGTCAGTGACACAGGTTATAGTGCAATATTAATACAAAGACCAGAAAAAATAAGTTAAAGTAACAAACACTAAAACAATGGGTTTGGTCAAACACTCAGATTCAGATTTTATATTTCTCACACACTTGACATTTAAGTACTGTGAAAAGTCTCCCTCATCTTGTAAATTGTTAACTGGCTTAAATGTCTGTCACACCTACTGAATCAGCTAGGGTGTAAAGATAATTACCCCATAACAGCTTTGCTAGGTGTGACAGACATTTAAGTTGACAGCAATTTAGTGAGACTCCCCAGGGAGATAGATCGATCCAAATATCTGTGGGAATGGTCCCTTAAATCAAGATGTAAAGAAAAATAGTTTTTTTATGGACCATCCTATATATTAACACAATGGTTTTCTTACCAATCACAAATATGTAACACTATATCTTAGAACCCTTTATATCTGAACAATAGCTATTACCTCCATTTTACCCAATACTGGTTTACTACACATAAAACCTGATCTACTGTGTTAGAGAAGACTTTGAGAAGATTTGATCATAATGGATTAACTGTGTTAGAGAAGATGAAAGAGAATTCCCACACAAAAATGAATATGAGTAGTTTTTTCTCAACATAACTTAAATACCAAAACATTAATTAGCTTTCCAGTAAATTTCAAGTGATCAGAGAGTAAAGAGGCATATGCTAGAGTAATATCTTAAGACCTCCGCAGCGTATGTTCACCTGTTCCTGTGGACTTGTGTAGGGAAGACTGTGGTTCCAGCCAGTACATGGGACAACTTCCCAGTGAACATTTACCTGTTCCTGGGGACTGTTGTAGGGAAGACTGGGACTCCAGCCAGTACATGGGACAACTTCCCAGTGAGTATTTACCTGTTCCTGGGGACTGTTGTAGGGAAGACTGGGACTCCAGCCAGTACATGGGACAACTTCCCAGTGAGTATTTACCTGTTCCTGGGGACTGNCGTAGGGTAGATAATTAGCATTTAATTTTGCCATTTTTAGACAAGGGTGCATTGCAATGAGTGCCACACCCAGACCCCAATACCGACAAAGCCCAAATTTTACGTGGAACGAGTTGAGATTATAGGTGACCTAAATCCATGAGATGGGTACGGGGGCCCTTACCGTCTAGGAGGAGAAGCGGTAACGGTAGCCGTCCGGCGGAGCCGGCGGAACGATCCGGACGGGACCGAAACCATGTGTACCGCCAGCGCTAACGCTGGTGGTACAATAACACAAAACTGACAAATGCTATGATAAATGGGATAAGTGTTCATTTTGGCCAAAAATGAATTTTCCCAGAGTAAACAACAATTTTCTCATTCTTACCAATGGTTAACAAATCCATTTCTACATATAAAGTTAGTCTCTGTTTTTTTTTCCTTAAAATTTTTATGGTTTTATGTTATAATCTCTTAAGTAAGAGATTATTACAGAGTATAGCTATCTATGGATGTCAAGTGGTCTGATGACAAGCCCAGATATCAGTATAATTGCAATAACAGCCGATATTGTGGTAAAACAAAATATATTATATTTCTATGAGTTGTTTACACTGTTTTTATTGTGAAATATAGATCTCATACGAAGAGTTATTATCCCTTTAAGGGTTGAGAAAAAAATGGCTACCCTACCACACACACATATAAAACTATACATCGTTTTCATTCTTGGGAAGGAGGGGTTAATAAGGACAATAAGAGAATAGGTATGCTGTACAAACTTCCAATGTTATGTCAGAGATCATACTATTAGAGTGAAAATCTCAGTAAAATCCTACCTGTTGTATTTGTAACACTCCAAAGGAAATCCTGACATTTTCCCTTCTTTCACATACAGAAGGTGGTCCTGTCCAGGTGGAATCAACTGGAATATAACATATATATATATATATATATATATATATATATATATATATATATCAACATGTACATACAGAAGGTGGTCCTGTCCAGGTGGAATCAACAAGAATACAATATTTATCAACATGAACATAGAAATGGTTGACTAGAATAAGAACATGAATATAATGGGTGTAAGAATTGTTTACAAAACACTGCTTTTTCTCGTGTTATTCTTGATACCTGCCAAATCGCTCGTAAAAAAAAAAAAAAAAAAAAAAAAGTCTGGACAAAAGGAGGATATTGAAATTAAGAGCACAATAAAACTGACTGGGCCATTAACAATGAATTTGAAGCCAGACTGGTAAAATTTTGTGATCATGTCTAAAGTAACTGGTCACCATTTCTTTAAAGAGACACTACATTCTGAGACCCTGGTTTTCCTATAGGTCATTAGGCTATGTGTTAGTGCAGACTGACATAAACCATCAACTTACCTTCCACTGTTTCCTCCCCTTAATGACTGCATTGGTACCTGTCCAGTTGTAGGGGTCAATGTGAAGAGAAGAGCGCGAGTGCGGCGTACCCCACAGCAACATGGCGTTCCAGGGACGTACTTCCTCAGGGAACAGCTGGAAGTAATCCTCCTTAAGGTACTCCTGCAATGGTAGTTGATTGCTTTACATTGCTTCTGAGACTGGACCAAAGCAATTGAGTTTGTTAACACTACATAGTGTTTATGATTAATTTGACTGTGATATCATCTACTGTATTATAAAGTCCTAACATGACAGTAGAATAAGCTGATGCATAAAAAGGAGTTTGCTGAAAATATCAATTCTTTATGTAAACTTCCTGACAAAAGTGCCCTGAAAATGCTTCAGTATTTACATATGCCATTGTTGTCACGCTCTGTGGTAAGTTCTCTGCAGCAACCTGCATCCCATAACAGCTGAAGTCTAACAGCTGAGTCATGTTTATTGATAGAAAAATTCCAATTTTCTTAAAAACACGCTCTCCTGGGATCCTTCATGAAATTCTCTTTAGCAATCTGCTCAAACAATTCACGATAATTTAATGAATAACAGATAAAGGGGGCTTATCCCAAAATTCCCACTCACACAGTCCCCGACATCTCTCCTCAGCTGTGGTCTCGTAGGAATAAACAGCTCATCCTCCACGTAGGTCCACCGCCTGAACGTCCCCTCATGGGCGTGTTTGAAGTAGAGCTCCAGGGGGAGGGCCAGACTCTCTGCGTTGTCTAGACGACCCTAAAATATACAACACAACATAAGACTTCCCATGTGACTTTTGATAATTCAATTCAATTCAATTCAATTTATTTCTGTACTGGTACATAGATTGTCATGACCTTGTACAATATGATATACTAATGATGATACAATACAGTTAGTGCATTACCATCTTTATATAATGGACATACGTATCAGTAAAATTACTCATAAAATATTCTATCTAAGCAATGCGATAAACCTTGGTGTGATTTTAAATTTACCATAAACATTCTATAAACATGTTACACAAAAAGAATATGTTTAAACTTAAAACCAAGGTTACATAGCTGTTTAAAGCCAGTTTGATGACATGGATAATTACGACTCATGACAATTACATAAGACAGATAAGTAAATAAGTGACACAGATATAAATATTGTGCCATGTTCAGTCCCACTGCCGAGTCACTTCTCACAACAGTGGGACCATACACTGACATTTTAAGGGATATGCTAAGAGTTACCAAGCAGAGCAACTACTTCACTTCTTTTCTTGAATGATTTGATTATAAAGTTGGAGAGGGACACTAGAGTATCTTTTTTGGCACTGTTAAATACATGGCATAAATGACTGTCTGGTGACCTGGGATCAGCTTTTAGGATTGAGGTTTTACTTAAAAGGTGACTCGGTCTGTTTTGTACATTGGGCATTGGAATATAAAATGGTATTCATCTTCAATTACCCCTTGGGTGCACAGGCGACAGATAATATATGACCATATTAAGAACAGCAGACTAATAGATCCGTGGATCAAATATGGTGACCCATTAAAAAGCTTGTCGCTTAATTCAGGATAAGATGCTAAATAGATTTGGCGCAGGATGATGAAACAAGCATTCAAGTGGGTCGGTCATATTTGATCCACGAATCTGTTAGTCTGCTTTTCTGAATGTGCTCTATGTTTATGCTGTTCAACAAATGATCCCATCCAACTGGTCTTACTGATTAATCAATTTGAAGTAAAATACTTTTGAATGATTTACTGATTTGAGTGCTTTAATGCATTTGAGTTGAGGACTGCTTGGTGAGGTAGATAATGGCATCCTTATTTTGTAGCTCCAGATATCTTTTATATAATGGATATTTAAAGCTTTTAATACACCCCATTTCCATAGATTTTTAGATCGATCTATCCCTGTGGGGAGTCTCACTAGATTACTGTCAGCTTGGCCGACTTAAGCGTCTGTCCCACCTACAAAAAGCTGTAAGGAGGTAATTAACTATGGTGCCCGCTCGACTGACTGCAATTTAGCGTGAACCCCCAGGGAGTTAGGTCGATCTAAATCTTAATCTCTAGATCGATCTAAATCTCTGGGAAAGCACCCATAGATAAAACTTTAAATATCATAAACATTAAGACTGGACAATTTAAGTATTCCCATACATGATGGTTCTTTACTAAAAAACACTTCACTAATATTGCTTACTATTAATATATCAAAAGATATTCTGTACAATACATATCCCGCTAATGTGATACTGCAGTTACCACAGAAATTACAATTACTCATATCGTTACTTACATCGACAGCCTTCATCGTGATCCTGTCCTTCCCATAATACTTCAGCAGGAACTGTTTACTCCAGTGATAGGCGCCCCATTTGGGGACCACATCTGTGATAATCACGGGCCTGAAACATTACAAATGAAATCAAACAGAGGTCAACATTGTGAGAAACAACCAGTCTGAACATTGCATATTGCTACTTTATCAGTTTTCAGTCAAAAATTAAACAGGCACCACCTATCTTTACAGGCAGTTTGACTGAAGTATAAGCTCTACATATTGACTAACCTTGTTGTGCCATGCTGGGACTTTTGGAGGGCTTTTTTTTTTTCTAACTTGCTCAGAATCTGCACTCAAGTGAACTATTATATATTCATCCAAGGTCAAAGAATAAAAATATTTTTGATATTGAAATAAAAACACATTTCAACTTCAGTGTGGGCATACTGTAGAATATGTTTACTGCTTTGTAACATGCAGCAGTTATATGTAAGTAAACATGTTCCACTGTGTAAACATGATAACACTTTTTGTTTGTTCTTTGTAATGTAAAAAAAACAGCAAATTCATGTCAAGTTGGTAAACATTCTGTCAACTTTGAAGTCATTATAGCACATCTGCACAGACCAGGAAGTGTTCATAAAACTGGCGTTACTGGGATCTACTGGGCTATACTTTGTCAAAAAATGTGAAAACATATTACAGGGGCAGATCCAGAGATATTTTCTGACAGTCTTCCAAATTATCTCTGTTGATCAATCCTCCATTTTTTACCATCTTCTGACAGAAAGATTAGTGTAAACTCAAAAATCTGACCGTCTTCCAAAAGACCAAGAAGACAGCCTCAATCTGCCCCTGTATTTATAAAGTATAACAAAAATGACATGAAGTGACTTTCACACTTCATCTCATCTTATGAACAAGTGTCCTTACCAAGCTCCATCGTAAACATCAGTGAATTCTTGGCGGCTGAGATTGGCCCTTTTGTCTATATGAGTGGTGCTGTAGTTGTAGGCATATTTCTTCATGTTCATCTCTCGCTGGGCCAAAGCAGATAGGTGGTCAAAAGAAAAAGTCTTGAACTCATACCTAATCAAAAAGAGAATAACATGAGAATAATACTAATAATACTAATACATATTATTCAAGTAACAGTTAACATTAACATTTCATAATGTGTTTATAATGTTTATGCACAGAAAACAGAAAAAGTATTGAAAATAGGATACAATCACATTGATATATTAAATTCATCACAAATTTAGGGAAGCGTGCATTGGTAGCAGCATTTACACTCACCATCTAAAATCACTGATGAGTTTAACAGTAGAGCAAAAATCTTTATTTTTTTATTAGACATGTTTTGCTTCACACATTCATCACATTATTTTGTTTGCTTAGGGACGTTTCCATGCACTTAATATAACAGATATAACCACAGTCTCTCAGGAGTTACACAGGCGGACTAAGCCCTGGTGTTTTAACAAAATAAACCACGGACTCCTGATCCTGCACAAACAGCGCACTCAGAGCAGCAGACTAACAGAGCCGGTGATCAAATATGGTGACCCACTAAAAAGCTTGCCATTTCTCCTGATAAGACACAGAATGGATTCCCTGTAGGGATTACGCAACAAGCACTAAAGTGGGTCGGTCATACTTGATCGGCGGATCTGTTGGTCCGCTGTTCTAAATGTGCTCTTAGATAATTTCCACACTGAGGTCCCCATAAGAATGAAGTAACTTGTCTTCAGTCCTCAGTTTCATATTGAAATAGTTCTACTTCCATAATTTCGATGTCTAGCAGAACATCTTCATCAAGGAATGAGGCCATCCAGGCGAATAAAATTAAAATTTAAAAATAAAAAAAAGAAAAAAGACTGAAGAAAAATTACTTCATTTTTACAACATAACGCAGTTAATAAAATTCTTCTCAGAGGTTCCATGTTTTGGATGTCCTCCAACTCAAAGTCTTACTCAGGCTCCATGTACTCCAGGTATTTTTGCTTCAGATGCTTCCAGTTCCACGCCAGAAGAGGCACGTTAACGACAGTGAACACAAGCAGACAAAGCCGGTCCCAGTGAATGTGGGGTTCATGCTTCTGACGCTTTACTTTTCGCCGTACACTGGGTCGTTCTGCTTTTTTCTTCTCTTCTGAAAATCATATCTTTGTATTGTTCATAATTATGAAATAATGGATATAAAGTTAGAAATAACTAGCATTATTAATTATAACTTAATGAGCAATTTATATTTTCATTTCAAGTGATAATGATCACAAACTTTGGAACTGTTTCACGAAATCATTACCTCCGCCAAGGAGGTTATGTTTTTACCCCTGTTTGTCTTTCTGTCTGTCTGTCTGTTTGTCATCAACATAACTCAAAAAGTTATGGATGAATTTCTAAGGAATTTTCAGGGTAGGTCAGACATGGGTTAACTTACAAGTGATCAGTTTTTGGTGGTGATCCGGATCAATAATCAATTAATAATCAATAATAATAAAAAATTTAGGAGTGAAACAGCACTGGGTGGAGACTTTGCTGCCTTGGCGGAGGTCTGCGCTCTCAGAGTGCTTTTCTAGTTATCACTAAAATGTTGCTAAATAATTGAGTAGTCATTCAAACAGCTGTCAAAACCATTGTCATCCCTGCTATTGATCACTTGGTCTTTTTTCAATATTTCACCTCTTGTGTGTTTATTATTTCATTGTTATGCATTAAAAATAAACCAGGATCAATGAATCAGACTACACTGTAGCAGACTACACTGTGGCATATTACACTGTAGCAGCAGGCAGATGGCAGCTCCACTAAAATTCATCATGACAGGAACAAGACTGGTTCTTCTCACTCTTATTATAGAAATCTTGGAGATGAAGTAAACAAACAAACAAACAAACAACTTGCAAATGAACAATATCTTAACAATGACAATGGATAAAAAATAATAATTCTCCTCTCTCTCTGCCATTTTTATGTGGTAATTGCCAAGCTCTATCACATGCTCATGAGAACTGTAATAAAGCTCTTTTTATTTATTTATTTTTATTTTTAGCTATGTGACTATATGGATTAATGACATTACCTTTATTTTTGTCATTTTCCTGTGTTTCTGTCTTTGTTTTATGGCGTTTCACATTTCTCATGATCCCCTGTAAGACAGCTAGCAGTGGCAGCATGACTGAAACGTGAAATTTACAGTCAAACAATGATGGGATGATTAAAATTATGACTTAATTGTTAATCATTTCATCTTAATCAAGGAAGTTCTAGTAGCCAACACTTAACTGTAGTTATGGGATTTTTATTTGAAAAAGTATTTGAAAGTAAACTTGCTAATATTATTCTGTTTAACAGTAAAAGAACTTACCCTTACTACTTTCTATATCTAACATAAAATGTTTAACAAACCAGCATTCAGTAGGTCAAATTTTAGGAAAAAAAGATGTTGGATGTTTTATGAAAACATGAGTATATCTCAGGGGTACACAGCATAAGGCTGCTAAATGACTGCACGGTTGTATTTATGAGAATCTTAATCACATTTTATCTAACTTTAAAAGTCCGTCATTCATCATGTAGTTTGGGGTCACCCCTCAACAGACATTGGGCAGACAATAACCGATTGCCTTACATTTCCATCCCACTTACATGTTTATGTGGCCAAACCTTTGCCCTTATTGTTTACCTTTCATAAGGTAACTTAATTATACTCGAATAAATGATACAACTCAACGTACATATGCCATATGTCAACAACAATGAAATTGCGTTAGTAGACGTTAAAACACAGCACCACATCAGCCTACGACTAACCCAACACCCCTCCCTCCCAATCCCGGAAGTAAAACTGTCCCTGGGAAAAAAGCTTCTCAACCTGTTTTTGTTTTGATTCATTAAAAACACAACAGTAAATGATACAAATGTGCCTTACCTGAGCTCACTTTTCAAAGTCACGATAAAACACAGATGCAATGCCATATAAACGCCAGCACGAGCTATTTACCTCACAGAAATCGATATTCATGACGTAAAAATCGATCTATTGTGGCTGCAGGTCGGCATTCCGTGGGCGCAGCCATCTTGGATACTCTAGACATCCGGGCACCTGCAGGTCACGTGATACATACAATCGTCGGCCATAGTGGGTCAGTGAATCCTGATACGAGCTAGAAAATCTTTTTAATACCAGGTAAATGAACATTCTAAGCATGTTATTGGCCCAGAGGTCTGGTCTGAGATACATAGCTTGTAGAATTATCGTGTATTCGGGTGTGTTAGTTGTGATGTAGACGTTGGAAATAAGTCGACATCCGGTGAAATTTTTGTGCTATGTGGACGACTGAGAACCCGAGCGAGGCCATGCTTGCAGAAGCAGCCTGATTTATTACATATGGTGTCTACATTGGGGCTTATCACGGCTTCTTTCCTCTTCCAAACTCATCATTTTGTACACCTGCATGCTCTAAGAAACGGATGCATTGATATTAGTGCGTTGACGTTAGCGCATTTTTAAAGGTTTTGCGTGAAAAAAGTGAGTTGAATTTTGTCTTTGCACACCTCTGCTAGTGTAGTGGAGATGAGTAACACAATATATGATTCACTGATAGTAGTTGAGTGCTAGGTGATCACAACTAGTAGGTGGATATTTGGTGATCACTTGTGATAAGAAGTGAAGTTGCACTGAATGTTACAAAGGTTGCATGCTCTGTTGATCTCATAAAGTGTCCAAGCTTGAAGTTGAAGACTAGGAGATGATAGGAGTGTGAACTTTTTCATGATCAAGGAAAAAAAAAAGGTTAAAATATCATTGCATGCACCTATTTTGATGTACAGAGATCAAAAGATGTTAATAACGTTTATACTTAAGAAGGTTTTAAACTTCTAGTTTAACCCAACTATCTTTACTCTGTTGAATACCATTTTAGTGTCTAGCATCATGTATAAACACTTTTGTTAACACATGCAAGTATAAATGTACAAAGATACTGTAAAGTGACATTCAACTAGGGTATCTCATAAGTTTTGTGGATTTTCGACTCCTCAAGTCGCACACTGCTGAAAATTCTACCAGTGCCACTGTGAGTTAAATCTGCTTGTCTACCAGATATGCTGAGGAGTATCAAACACCCACTGAAGACTCCTCTTGAAAACTTACTGTGTGGGAAATCACATGTGTGCTGTGCAGTATTGGGACAAGTTTCATTCATCACACCACTTTGGGTTTATTTTCAAGAAGGATACCTATTTGTTACATTCTGAGGTTTGTTAATGGTATCAAATTAAATGGATGTATAATTGTGTGATAACATAACTCAAAGACGAGCAGATTCATATAAAGCTGCCAATGGCAAAAATGGTTGGTTTTTTAGCAGTATGCAGTTTGAGTAGGTGGGGAAGAAAAATGTTCTCTATACTTTCAAAATTTAAGTGTACTAGTAAGTACTTGAAATATTCAAAAAATGTAAATGGGGGTGCAAACATGATTTTTCAGGCTTTATATACTGTCATGTGTGGAAAAGACGCTTAATCTTTGATTGCTATACCTTCATATGATAGCAAGCTAGTTGAGATTGAAATTAGATGCACTTGATTTAAAGGTTCAGTATGCTTCTCTGCAGTGTATCATTTATGAGCAATCTTTTATCTGTAGTGTAACAACACCTATAGGTATATGTATGTTTGATTGCCCATCTCTTTCTTCATTCTGGTCTCTGTGAATGTTGTATGTTCATGGTATTTTAGTATCTATGAGTGTTCCCTGTTCCCAGTATTCTAGTATCTGTGAGTGTTCCCTGGGTCTGCCCCCCCTCCATGTATTTTAGTTTTTGTTTGTGTTCTGTGTCAATTGTGAAATGTTAAATAATTTAATACAGTCCTGTACATCCTGTTGTAAATCAACTAAAAAGTGAAAATGTTATAATTACATGATCAGAACACTGTGCTTGATCTCCTTGGGACATCTTACCTCTCTATCAGAGAATATTGTAACTTTTAAAACCCCAAATGTAATCTAAGGCTTAAAACAAAGACAATTTATTAAAAGCATCTTAAGTTAGATATAAAAATTAATGCATAAAGAGTAAATTTAAGCATCAAAGTATTGATTTATTATATACATTGCAGCTTTAATTTTGATTTTATGTATGCAGTATATGTGGTCTATAAGTGGTATGTGGCTGGCTGTTCCTTTAAAATTCTAGATCTATTTATAGGAACGTGTGTCATACAAATCCCAGATATATGTATGTGGGCATTTTTCATCAAATTTTAAAAGATTTAATTACTAAAGAAGTATCTTTTAGTGTCCTGTTGTCTGTATCCATGATTTTCAATCATTTTATATGAATCACAATAGTTAAACTTTGACCTCAAGTTCGAAAGAAATTTCTATGGTATCTTCATTTTTCATTTATCTACAACTACATATAATTTATTGGTCATGCCCCTCTAACTTGTTGAAGTTTATTGAGGAGGTGATGAGGAAGGACTGCCAACTTTGGAGCACAAGTCTCTTAAATTTGTTTGAAAATGGTTCGCCTAGACCTACTTTTTAAGGTCAGGTCATCAAGGTCATGTCGGTGATCAAGGTCATGCATGCCATCTTAACAAAATTTTCAGAATTAAATCAAAGAAGGAACAATTAAGCTGGATCACCAGTAGATTGTAGATAGTTTTCTTGTAGTTAGCAGATGTGTTGCCATGGAAACCATATATCATCCCTCTTATTTTATTGGCAGAATGTCAAGAGTGACAGGTAGATTATTAGCACCCACAACACAATAAATTCCAAAGCGAGTTCTAGGAAGTTACCTGTATGTTACCTGTAAGTTATGCTGAGTGGGGTTAAAGCAGATAAAGACAAGATAAATGGTGGATCAGTTACTACTGAGAGGCCAGCAACCTGGTGAAGTACAGCTGACTGACTTTATAGCTGTAACTTGATGTGTGAGAGTGTAGGGTACCTGACTTGTATGTGATATGGTACTGCTGTACACCTGTTTAAGCCCCCTGGACGGTGTCCCTTGGCATGGTCCTGTTAGAGAGAAAAAAAAACACATGCTGACAACTGGTCAATCATTGAGCATCCATTCTGCAACCATTGTTTGCACTACCTTTTTACGACCACCGATGTCAGTTTCATGGTCCCATAAAGTTGGCTGCAAGGACGCCGTCCACTGTAAAGGGTTTTTTTAGTGGAAACGTGGCTGCAGGTAGATGTGATTTGGTTAGGCAAGCAGTATGTAGATCTATATATTTGACAATTCAGCTCACACTGATCTGCTAGTAGTAACCTGCATTGCTGGTTCATTATACAGCTAGGATAGTTGATGTGGAGGATAACCAGTTGATGTGGAAGATAAAAGCTAATTTGTTATGAGAGTCAAGTGAGAAACGTACTGAGTTTTTGTCTCTTGGCTTAAATTGGACTGTTGATGAACATTTGCGAAATTCTTGTTACTGCAATAACTAGAAAAAAATCTTTGTGGTCCCTCATTGGACCAAAATGCTGGCCGAGGTAAAAAAGCTGTGATCAATTTCTTTCTTGCATTTTTATATTATTTTAAAAAGGTGGTCTTGTTTTGAATTTTTTTTACTCTGTCACATAATCCTTTTACTGAAAACTTGAAGATGGAAGATATATTTTCCTTCAAATGCTTTGTTGTATTACAAGTACAATAAGAGCCTAGTAATCAAGAACACAAACTAAAAGCAGTATTTATTGTCTAGAGAATCATGTTGACGTTTTAGTTGAATACAGTTTGTTTTTGTGCAGACATGCAGAATGAGGAGAAGCATATTACGCCAGACTGGATAGCAATAGCAGCCTCTCGCAGCATTGTTAATAACCTGGTGTATAAAATAGGGACCAGTTAGTGAGTAAAAAAAAAGGCAACATAAAGATTGAAATGTTATTTGATTAGACTTATTGTACAGTATTCAGAATTGACTTTGGTGCACCATATCAGTTTGCAAGGGGTATCCTTGCCACTGGCCATTGATGTACGTGTGGTCACTTGCTGACCGCTGTCCAGTGTCCTGGTCCTAAGTTTGGACCATATATCCGTATCCACATGTGCTGAACACAGATGCACAACTTAATCACTGCATGCTTGTCTATGGGCACAGTTTATTTTAAACTATATTACACTTCACTCTTTAAATAATTCACTATGCTCTGTTATAATTATTCTTATAGATTGGTTTGCCATAGCATATGAATTATTTTAATGAGTTGATTTACCTCTTGCCTTACAGAGGAAGTATATAATTACTGTCCAGATTGTAATATACACGGCACTAGTGAATATTGTTATTAACATCTTTATCATGCTTGGGCCAGTGGTTGTTATGTAGTGATGTCTGATGACTTCAGTGGCATGCTGTATAAATTTGTGATCAGGAGAAGAGAAATACAGTGGTAGAATAAAGTACATAATTAGGACCAATATTTTTCATTTGGATTGTGGAATGTCTTAGCAGTTTGTTAGTTTCAAAGCAGTTTTTTCTAAAACTAAATGGAATTTGATGTATAGTTTCTTGGTGAATTGTGTATATTTCATATAAAATTGCACATTGACCGAGGGCTGCAGGTCTCTGCTAACTGTTATTAACGTTACCTGTGGGCTTGAAATGCAGGCAAATTTTGAAAGTTGGCATGATGCAATTAATGTTATCATTTGCATTTTTTTACACACACATTTGCACATAAACTGCTGGCAGCAGAAAGGCTTTTATTTTCTGTGAACAGTTGAACAAATACATAATCCAAGTTATGAAGTCGTTTATTATTAACACGCATATTGTTTTTTCAAAAGTGCTTCATTTTGTAAAATTTGTTAACCTTTTTCTCTTCTCTGTCTAGACAGGTGCTTAATACACATTTTTATGAGATATGGTAAATGTATATCACAGGGAAATTTAACAAGCAGGTGGAGAGTTATTTTAGATGGAGAGGTTTTTATTTGCTGCTATACTCTGTTACCATCTGTTAATACAGGAATTTTCTTTCCAGGGTGCATTTAAAACCCTTTGGCCATTAACTTAATAGTTGTAGAATGCTTTAACAAGGGAGCAAAAGTTTTATGCAATATTTATTAATGTGTGCTTATTTTTTATTTCTTCCAGATCATAGTTGAGAATGGCAGATACATTGAAATTTGGTCCAGAATGGTAAGTTACCCTCCACAGACTATGGCCTTTTTCTACTTGTCCTCTTAGAGTCTTAAGTTTGCTACTTGTCACCCAATAACTTGTCAACCAGCCAGGAAAAGGAGTCTTATTAAACCACTGTCACAAAAACTCTAGACTGTCTCAATTTTACACTGGATGGCGTCCTTTCTGCGTCCCATGGTATGGCCCTGTTTGAGAGTAAAAAAATCTTTACGTGCTGACAACTGGCCTGTCGTTAAGCATTCATTCTGCAAGCAAAATGGTGCTTGTGCTTCCTTTCTACGACCACAGTGATGCCAGTTTCATGTTCACACCAAGGATGCAGAAAGTACACCGTCCAGTGTAAGCCGTCCAGTGTAAAGGGGTTTTAAGTAAATTACTAATACTAGCCTTTTTAAAGCAGTCAGTCAGCTTGAACAATAAACCTGCTGTCTGACCAGTGATAACATGTCTGTCCCCAGGCTGCGGGCCCTGTCTGATGGCAACAGTGTGACCACGCCGCCCCCGTCACCCAGCTACCCCAAGTACAAGCTAGCAGACTACCGGTATGGGCGGGAAGAGTTCCTCGCCTTGTTCCAGCCAGAGTACGAGATACCAGAGGAGCTGCTCCAATACCCCTCCATACTGGTGGAGAAATCTCAGAAACCCATGGCGCTTATACCACTCACAGAGGAAGAAAATGTACGTGTGTAGTCCTCTCTCTGAGGAAGAAAAAGTGAAAGAGGGTTTATTTCTAAAATAATTGTAAAATACGCCCAGTTTGCTGATCCCACTTCGAAGAGTTATCAGGTGATAAATGTGAAGCCATATTCTTTGTTTGGAAGCTGATCGCTTAAAGGTTGTCTTAAGAACTCACTGTATTTTGTGGCTGTAGCAATAGTAGAGGGCTGCTGTAAGCCTCTCTTTAGTCAGGCTCACAAACCTTCATCCCTGCAAGGATTCTTAGTTCCTGGGTTTAGTTTTCACTTGTTGGGTTTTTACACGACCTGCATCTTTGAGGTCTGCTCTGTATTTCCTGTTTGTAATGAATTTTAAAACTAAAATTTACCATGTTGTTTGTTTCCAGCGCATCATGTCCCAGTCAGTGAACAGTCTAGCGGTGCTGCGTCTGATGGGGAGGGGCGGCGGTGGCGCCTCTGGTGGCCCAGGAGGACCGTCCATGAGAGGTGGACGAGGAGGCTTTGTGGAAAGAGGCCGAGGTCGTGGTCGAGGAAGGGGTGATGGCTACTACTCCAGAGGACCATATGAGGAGGGGGAAGGCGGCCTGGGCAGGGGGAGGCTGCACAGTAGGAGTGACAGCTGGGACGAAGGGTGCGTATTTGCTTACTACATTCTACTAAAAATGTCAGTACTATCGTGGAATAGAAATTGAGATGGATCTTGATTTAGGTAAAAGTACTCAGCATCAGTTGCTAGTTCCATGGGCCAACTCAGAAGACACACAGACTGATTTGATTAAAAAATTTATAAATGTCCAAACGTTTTGCTATTTTACTGTTTGTGAATTGACCTGAATTTGCGTTGCTTTACATTAGAAGCAGAGATCCGAGACCTAGATTTGAGCGAGGGTTTTCAGCTCGGGGAGCATATGAAGAAGGTGAACAGATATCTCCCAGGAGAGATTTCTCTCGCTCTATGAGCAGTGATAACTGGCGGGAGGCTAAGAACATAGCTGAGGAGGAGGGGGAGGGCGGAGACTGGAGAATGGCAAGGTCCAAGGACAGATGGGGTTAGTATACTTCACTTTTCTGATTATAGAGCAAACGGCGGGTTGAGGCATTTCTGGGTCTTCCAGAAGAAGGGTCAGATTTTCAAGTTTACGTTGACGGGTATATTTTTTTTCTGTGGGAAGTCGGTCAGAAATAGAGAAGGGATCAACAAAGATAATTTGGAAGACTGTCAGAAAATATCTCTGGATCCGCCCCTGGAAAGTGCAGTCACATTAGAAGTAGGGCTTCTTTTGGAAGACAAATAACATGTCAAAATACAAACAAAGTAATTACATCACTTTCTTTTTCATGTACTTCTGGTTTTGACTTGGAAGTATGTTTTATTTTATTCATTCCTGACTTGTTAGAGATATATAAAAGATAAAGCAAAGTGTATGTATTCTTCCCCATGATCAGGGACCCGTGGCGGCTGGCGTGGAGGAGAGTATGACTATGACAGAGCTGAAAGGAACGACAGGGGTTTCTTCAGACAGAACAGTTACGGGGACAGGCCTTATTACAACCGCCAGAGGAGTGCCAGTGAGTCTTGGGGAGATGAGGAGGGTAAGTTGAGGAATTTATTCAGGCAGGTCTTACTGGTGTCAGAGGAGTGAACTCGGAGCTTATTTTTAGTGTGAGCTGAGTGCCAGTGAGTCTTGGGGAGATGAAGAGGGTTAGTTGAAAAATAAACTCGGAACTTATTTTTAGTGTGAGCTGAGTGCCAGCGAGTCTTGGGGAGATGAAGAGGGTTAGTTGAAAAATAAACTCAGAGCTTATTTTTAGTGTGAGCTGAGTGCCAGTGAGTCTTGGGGAGAGAAGAAAGGCAAACAATTTTGTTGGCTGACAATATTATGGCTTACAATGTCAAGGCAAGTTACAGATATGCCAGGTACCTTCTTTTTTAGGATGAATAGAGATGAAGAGAATTGATGTTTTATTTTGTAAATGAAATGCCAACAAATCTTGTGGAGTTAGAGAAAGAGCTGACAAATTTACAGTTGTGTGTTTGAGATCTACCTGTACATCCTGTCTTCTTACAGATGTCCCAGAGTGGGCGGCAGATGTTGAAGAAGATATCGGGACATTTGATGCCAGCGGTGCTTTTGTGTCATTGAAGGTAATAGTTTTCTCAGAAACCGAGAGGCGCGTCTCTCCAATGTGCATCTTTAGATCTAGTTCAGTGAGTATAAACAGAAGCAGAAAATAAACTTTGATGCAAATATGAATGGTTAACTTATATGCAGTAATTTAAGGGCCAGACAGTACAGAGAGGATGTTTTATTGCAGGAGGCGGAGGATCAGAAGAAGGCCATGAAGAAAGGAGAGAAGTTGGGAGATGGGGAGAAGACCAACGGGGAGGTGAAGGTGTTCAGTGGAAAGGAAGAGACGTCGGATACAGAGGTAAGTTTTTTATCTAAACTATGTAGAATAAGACTGTTCTAAGATATGTATATGTTATGATTGTAGAAAACAAATTGTAAGTAAAAGATTAGTTTGATTCCAGTCAGGGAAAGATTGTGAAAAGTGAAAGGATGTTTGGCCGAAACAAAGTACAATGTTTATGCCATGTAAACACTTTGGTTTATGTGCTAGCATTTCTTGTGAACATTTTAGAATAATAAAGGTGCCAAAATGGAGAGTAGTGAGGAAACAAAAGTGAACTCCACAAAAGAGAAAAACAATAACAATAAACAAGAGCTTAAAGCAGACACAAATGATGCAGAAAAAAGAGAGACCTCAAAAAGGCCAGAAAATAATTCACAACCAGAAAGCAATAACACGATTGCCAGCCAAATCAATGTTGCCAATAAGACACAGCCATTGAAGAAGGGAGGAAAAGACTCCTCTAATGCCCAGGAAGTGGATATTGATAAAACTAACAAGGCTCCTGAACCTGATTTAACACCTTCTAATTCTCTTCCTGTGGCAATGTCTGAAAGTGTTACCAAGGCAACAGAATCAGGAGTGGAGGGCAAGCAGAAAGTGAACGGGGAGACCAGTGTGGCTGCCACTGCGAAGGTGGAGGATCCGGTGGAGCCATCTGGTGGCGACGTGAGTGAAGAGCGACAGAATGATCTCCATGACTTCCAACACTTAGAGGCAGCAGCGGAGAGTTTGGTGGCTACGTGGACAGCAGAGGTGAGGAGTAGGGTGGAGGGGGAAGGAAGGGGGGGGTATCTGAGTTGTGTGTGTGGGGGGGGGGGGGGCAGTTATGTATCACCCCAATATGATATCAAGTTGCTCCCTTAAATCTTTTCACATCTTTTCTTTCTGGTTTTCTTGTAAAAATGAATTGAAGTAAAGTGCAAATTGTCTAATTTTTACTCTTTAGCTTGGGATATTGTAACCAAGAACTCAGAGCTCTTCAAAGAGGAGATCAGATTGATTTGTTGAGGGACAAAGAAGTAAAAGAAGGATAATGTATAATGCAAGCTTTGACTCATGTCTTCAGTGCAGAAAATGTGTTATAAAATGTGTGTGTTCACCTTCAGGAGGATGCCAAAACCCACAGCAAGGCTGCAGTGGACAGTGGCGGCCTGCCCATTGACCATGAGGATGCCAAGAGGTGGTTTTACCGCGACCCCCAGGGGGAGGTGCAGGGGCCATTTGAGAACTCTGAGATGGCGGAGTGGTTTAGTGCGGGCTACTTCACCATGAATCTACTGGTCAAACGCGGCTGTGACGAGAGATTTTATCCACTAGGAGAGCTGATCAAGAGATGGGGGCGTGTGCCTTTCCTGACGGGTCCCTCCCCACCCCCCCTGCTGCACTCTGCCTCCCCCACCCCAGAGGGTCAGGTACAGCCACTGCCACAACCCACACAGCAAGAACAGATAAAGATGCAACAGCTACTGTTACAACAACATATGATGCAGCAACAGCATATCATGAGGTGAGTACCCTACAGTAGGAACAATGTATGGTAGGGTTTATGTTGTGTTTGGAAAGGCTATCAGCAGATTGTAATCTGCTGTCCACATGACTATAGTAGAAAATACAGCATGTGCTGACAGTAGCAGTGATTATCGACTCGGCAAAAGACACAACAGTTTTGATTAACTTGGTGTTAACTTTTTTGGGATATTTATTTTATATGATTGTGGTTGTAATTGGAAATAGTATTATCTATTAATTGGAAAAAAGCAAATGAATCTATTTGAAATGAGTATAAAAAATACTTACGACAACAACAACTTTTATTATTATTATTATGTTTTGTAGACAAATTCAGCTCCAACAGTTTATCCAAACACTGCAGCAGCAGGAAGCGTTTTCCAAGCTGTCTCCTGCAGAGCTGCAAGCGCTGGCCATGCAACTATTGTTAAAACAACAGCAACAACAGCAGCTGCAGCTGAACCAACTGTCACAGCAGAAAGACATGTAAGTTTAACTCTGGTTGTCTGAGAATACTGAAGCCTGGTCGCAACCCAGGGGGATAATGTTGATCTGTATGCTTTTGTTTTATGTGTATTAAAGTTGACTCCTGGACGGGGATGCATAGATTACATTCTCGTGAATGTACTTTTGCTTCATGAAACGTTTTTACAGATACTTTGATCTGCTGTTGGCAATATTAAGCATGAATTGGTTTGCTTGGTTTTGAATATTGGCATGGACTTTTTTTGATCATAGTTTACTGGTGTTCAGGCATTGCTGCCTTTGTGCCACAAGCAGTTTTCTATTTCAAAACATTGGTGTAAGAGGAAAAGTGTGTGGCTGGAAGTATGAGAGAAAGAATATTTTTGCTGGGATCTTGCGGACTTCACGGTAATTAGGCCTTGATGTCTGCTCATGTTGTAGTTATAAAATAGCCAATCAGTAAGCTGCTTTGAAACTGGTTGCCATGGTGACAGGTCCACTGCAGCCAATCAGTGTTGATTTCTGTCCTGCAGGCAACTCCAGCTCCAGCAGATCATGCTGCAGCTGCAGCAGCAGGAGTTTTTCACTAAGTTGAATCCTCAGCAGCAGCAGGCGCTGGCTATGCAGGTCTTGGTGAAACAACAACAACAGCAGCAGCAGCAGCAGCAGCAAGAACAGCTTAAACATCAACAACAACAACAATCTCATCAACAGCAGCAACAGGCTGACAATCAGGCTGATATGTTAGTGATTATTTTACTGTGATTGATTACTAATTATGTCTTGGTTTTGCGTTCTGTGTGTTGAT